TTCTTTGTACGTAATCTACGTCTTCGAATACGTGCAGCGGCATGCCCAATACAAAGCCTGTGTACCATCCTTATTTCATACGGCTTAGGACAATGAATCAAAGCATGCGGGTTCACACATTCGAAGAACGTAATACTTCAAGTCTGAGGATCGTTATACCAATAGTCGCATTAAGGACACTTAGAGCATAGACTAAAAGTCTAGGCAATGCCCTTAAGGTGGGTCAGGTCTGGCATCCTATTATTAACGATAATATCTGCCCGAGAGTAGATGCGAACACTCCGTCATTTGACCAAGAGACTAGGTCAAACATCTAACTCTCACTAGTCTCACACGCATTAACAATATCCTGCTCTCGTTAGTGCTTCGACTATAGACCGTTCAGAATTATACTAAGTGACAAGATGTGAGTCTCAACATCAGAAGACTCATTCTGATAAACATATTATAATATAATTCTAGGAATGCAATTAAGAGTTTACATTAGCATGAGATGTTTGTAAACTTAATGCATCTGCCTTTACATGATAGAAAATATCTAAGATATTACAACAGCAGTTGGCCATAAGGGCACCAACTCCAACAGGAAGTAGTGTAGCTCGAGAGAGTCTCTCAGGAGACTGGACTAGCCACACGTTGTGGTGAACCAGTATAAATCTTGGTGTGCTCCCTTTACTCCTTTTTATTCCGCTCTTTACTTTATCTCTGCGATTTTTATTCCGCGAAAATTTATAAACTTTCTCGTGCCTCACTATTCACCCCCCCTCTAGTGAAGGGCACATATTCTAACATATATATATATATATATATATATATATATATATATGTATGTATGTATGTATGTATGTATGTATGTATTTGGGGTGGATTTAGCATCACCCATATATATATTCTCATTATATGTATGCTCATATGTATATATGTGTTTAACATGTATATAACGTGTACATGTATGTATATATGTTACTTCTTATATATATATATATATTATATTGTGTACATTTTATTTTGGAGTGTCATCTTAATTATGAAAATAATTATTTTGACAAAAACTATTATAAAGTATATTTTATATACTTGTTTTAAAATGTTTTGGGTATTTTATTTTATATCATAAAAATTATTGATATCAAATAAAATACACTTTGAACATTTGAGAGGAGGAAAATTAAACTCCTCCCCCCTTCACCTTTCGTACTTGCATGCATAAGTGGGGAGCTTGTCTCCCACTTTATGAAACGTATGGAGTGTTATAAAATGAGAGAAAAACTACTCAAAGATTATGAGAATAGATATAATATATTTCTGATTTCTTCTCTCTATTGATTCTTCACTCTTCTTCTTATTCTTAATGGTGATTACAATGCAGGGATTAAGCCTCTATTTATAGTGGAGAGGCTTAGTATGAATACAAATACAAGTGGGAAGGACTGTACTAAATTGATACTCATCAATGAGTGTCTTAATCTACTATTCTAGAAATTAGGCCTGATTAATTGAATAAATGAACAATCATTAATTTCATAACACTCCCCCTTGAATGTTCATTTTTCAATTAATGATGGGTACTTCGTAACTGGACATAGTTTAGTAACCCATTCTAATTTTATGTACTGCCTCGTTAAAAACCTTGTCAGGAAAAACCTAGTGGGATAAAAACCTGATCAAGGGAAAAAGAGTACAGTTCATAAAATTCTCCCCCTCAGCTTAGCATAATTGACGGAGGCGACGCATGCCAATCTTGTGTACGAGTTCTTCAAATTTCTTCGGGGGCAA